CTCTCTCTCTCTCTCTCTCTCTCTCTCTCTCTCTCTCTCTCTCTCTCTCTCTCTCTCTCTCTCTCTCTCTCAAACACACACACACACACACACTGAACTCAGATACTGACAGATGAAAGGCACTGCCTCGAGCAGCTGCAAGTTTCAGAGTGGAAGCCCAGCGACAGCCGGCTGAAGCACCAAGCTATGGCGCCAAGGTAACTCCTCTGCCCTACTCCTTTACCGCTGCAGACCACTCTCACATTCCTTCCCCACTAGCTCCCCCTATGCCACTGCTTAACCATCTTTAGTAGTCGTCCTCCTCACCTCCCTCGTCTTCCTCTTCCTCGTGCCATTGCTCGACACACCATCATCATTCGATTCATTACCTCCTTTTTTTTTTTTTTTTTTTTTTTCCAAACCAAAACCCTTGAGTCCCAAGTCTGCTATCCAGATCATTCGCATTCTTTCTCTAATTATCCTGTGTGAGGCTAAGCCCCGATAAGGCCCTCAGAGGCCCTGTTTGCATTGACGTCGGCCGCCCTAAGTGAAGGCAGGCTCGACAGGCCCTGCAGGCCCCTTTTTCAGGCCTCCCCGTAACTGGGGTAATTCAGACAGTTGCGGGGTGTCAGTTGGTTACAAGCGCTCAGGCCCAGGCTCCATTTTGCAAATGTATCTGAGGGGCGCCCTGGGCCAGAGGCATACACGGACCGAACACAGGCCGGGGGCAGTTGGGCACGGGCAACTAACTCAGGCCATGGGCCTGGACTGAGGCTCAGCCATCCGCGGCCTACCGGAGGCTTCCAGGCCAGGGTCCAGTACCCGAAGGCCGCAGCAACACGCCAGCCTCTTTCCATATAGGAAAGGTCTGGCCTCGCATTTCGGCATTCGGGTGCTGGCTGCACGCTGGCCAGCGCTCACGCGAGCTGGGGACTGAGCACGCAGCCATAGCCAAGCTGCGCTGCTGTAGCTGGTTCTGTGAGGTTTGGTTTCCTCCGCCTTTTCTTTACCTCTTTGCCTTTTCGCTGCGTGCGAGTGGGTCTTTGTGACACATGGGGATGGGGGCAGCCAGCGCTCACCCTGTCATCCACGTGGCTGGCCTTGTACGTAAGAGGTTATGAACAGGCGGAGCTTTCCTTGCCTCTTCTTCTCCTTTTTCCTTTTCTCCTCTTTTCTCCTTGTTTTCGCTTTTGCGCTCCGGCTCACAGTCTGACAATATATACACACACACACACACACACACAGAGAGAGAACACAGCCGAGAGAGAGAGAGAGAGAGAGAGAGAGAGAGAGAGAGAGAGA